TGGGAGGAGATTACACAATGGCCTGTATACCAGGAAGTGGGAAGCATTGAGGCCATCCTAAAGCCTGCCTACCACAATCATCAAATATCTAGAGTTCAAATTTTTCCTAATTGTCTTAAGGAATTTTTTTAAAGCTTTCTTGGTTCTAATCAGGTCCAAGTAAAATCCATATACTGAACTTGTTTTTTCTTTTAATCTATAGATTTCCCTTCCCTGTTTTTATTTTTTCCTTGAAGATTATTTGTTAAAGAAATCAGTCGTTTGTCCCAGAAGTCCCCTCCATTTGAAGGGGGTGAGGCCTTTTATACATTATGGGCGGAGCTAGAGACTTTTGGCGGGAAGAGCTGGGGCGACCTTTCGTGGTCATTGAGAAATAGGAGGGTATGGCGGTGTTTGCGGAATCCAGGAGCCAAAACTTTCTTATCCGGGTGTAGTAGTTTTCAGCGGGGCAGTCGTCCTTGGCAGGTCTCGTCTCATGAGCCTTTTCTTTTTTGATCTAGGGAAGGGAGGGGGCCTGCCACCAGCCTTACATTAATATGTAGTATTTTTAAATTATTAAATTTTAATATTACTAAAATTTCTAATTCACATCTTGCATTATAAGATATTTACCTCTTTAATTTTATATTTGTATCTTTCTTACTGTAAGTGCCTTGGTTCCTGATGATATTAATTTAATTATTTATTTGCTTTATGTTATGTTTTACCTGTATGACATAGTTTCACCTGTATGACATAGTTTCAGAACACCAATTTCAATATTATTAATAACAGTGTATTACTGAAAATAATTTAAGATTTTTATTATATTTCTTTTTTTATACTACCTGGATTTAGCAAAGTAATTAACTGCTTTTTTTTAAGTTACTTTAATTCTTCTGGATAGTTATGAAACAAACTCAGTCTACAGTTTGGTACATTTATTCATTTTGCTTTGGATTTTTAGGGGGTTTTTTGTTTTGTTTTGTTTTGTTTTTTAAAGAGGCTGGGTCTCACTTTGTCACCCAGGCTGGAGTGCAGTGGCCTGATCATAGCTTACTAGAACCTCTAGCTCCTAGGCTCAAGTGATCCTCCCACCTCAGCCTCACAGGTAGCTGGGACTACAGGCATGTGCCCCCTTGCCTGGCTAATTTTTAATTTTTTTTGGGAGACAGGGTCTTGCCATGTTGCCCAGGCTGGCCTCAAACCCCTGGATTCAAGTGATCCTCTTGCCTCAGCCTGTCAATGCGCAACACAAACTACCGCAGCACAAACTACCATGGGGACTGTGAGTGCCAGCTGTGGGCAAGGTTTCACAGCCGCTGAGTGCTGTCCCTAAGTGGTTAATTGTGAGATTTTTCAGGGGCAGCAAAAAGAAAAGACAGACAGAGAAAGAGTGGGGCCAAACCACGTGGCTTTGAGGTTCTGGGGTCCCAGCAGGGGGCCCCAGAAGTCCCCTCCATTTGAAGGGGGTGAGGCCTTTTATACCTATGGCGGGGCTAAGAGCTTTTGGCGGGAAGAGCTGGGGCGACCTTTCGTGGTCATTGAGAAATAGGAGGTATGGCGGTGTTTGCGGAATCCAGGAGCCAAAATAAAATTATTAGCCGTTGGTGATAGTTGCCTAGATTCATTATTTCATTAAGGCTGCAGTGATATTCTGTCATTCTTTCCTTATTAGTTGGAATAATATTTTAGAAAGAAAATTTTCCATTTATCACTTGGTTTCACAAAAGTATAAATTGCACAGGTATAAAAGGCAGAATAAATACTTAATTTTTCCTCTTTTATTCACCAGTTTTCAAAATCAGTGGTTCTGTCATTCCCCAACAGTGACCATTGAACTTTTATACATGTGGGTGTACATCATGATAAACTCATAGATTTAAATATATTTTTGTGTTTTGGTTCATTACAGTTGTTATTTTCACTGATTCTCAAATTGGTCCATGTTTGGTTATTTGAATCTTTTTCAAGTTTGAGTCCTTTTGACACAACCCCAGTAGTCTTTGTCACTGTTTATAAAGTGTTTTTGGTGGACAGACCTAGAATACTCTTAATGAGTAAACACTGAAATTTCTGATTTTCAAGTTTAGGATTATAAATATTCTAAACATTTATTACTATAATTTTATTAAATTTTAATATTTAAAATTTAACCACTTCCATACGAGCGTTGACTATAGTTGATAGCCACAGATGAACGCGCACAGCTGGGCGTGGACTGTAGCTGACATCCATGATATGAAGGCACACAGCCGAGTGTTGACTTTAGCGTTAATAACAAAACTTGACTTTTCTAATTTTTCATTTATCAAAATAAAATTGTGAATTAACGTTATTTAAAAATAATGTAATAGCATACATGTATATGTTACCTATTTTGATTTACATTACAAGTAAAGCTGCCTGTAAAGTAAAACAAGCTTTCAGTGCTTTCAAGCTTTCCTCATCACACTAGAGCAAAACGGATTAGTCGTCAATGCGCAACACAAACTACCGCAGCACAAACTACCATGGGACTGGTGAG